CAGACGTGTGCTCTTCCGATCCCCCCAAAACCCCAAAACCCCATACTTCTAAATATGTGGATAAATCAGAGAAATAGAATTAGTCAATATCTATAAGTTACTCATTTTAACGATTCAATCTTTACTCATTTACATAGATCATTTCATTATACACTCTATTTAAGTTGTTATTGTTGTTATTACTATTAAACTGTTTATTATTGATTTTACTGCTGCTGTTCTTGACTTTGACATCCCATGGACTCACTATTAGTAGTGTTTATAATTCAAGGTTACCTAATAATGATCTTGTTTTTGTACTTGATGATCTAGTTTGTGAATCCATTCACGTAGTTGTCAGTCAATATGACTTATTGGCCCTGAATTCCATTAGGCATTCCAGTGCCTGGCTTCTACTGCATAGTGCCCCCTCCAGTGCCTCCCACAGAGTTCATATGTCTGCTATTGTGATGACTTACATGGCCTCCATTATGATGATGGTGATGATGATACTATGTGCTGAGCATACTTTGATTATTCATGGAAAAAGAATTGTTATTGCTATTATTAGCATGTGTATTTGTTGTAGTGTTATTGTTGGTATTAGGATTTGAATGGCTTTGATTGCTATCCATTTAAGTGATTATTAGATGCTGCATGGGCATACCTGATTCACCCTTTGAAGCAATTGAACCTCTTGGATTAGTATGAGGAACTTTAAAATTGCCGAGTTACTTGTAATCAGGGTCGATCATTGGATGATTGCTATTGTTCTGATTATGATAATTTATTTAGCTTTGTTTTAGTTTGTTACTCATAGACTTATGTCTCTTATGTGAGTATTGACTTTTAACTCCACTTTCAAATTATTACTGATTTTGCTACAATTGCTAATAGTTAATCAGTTCCATGTCAAAACTTTTATTGGCGCCTGCAAGATCTTTCATAATGCTTTAGCTTACGAATTCATCACCTAGCTGGTAATTGTTTGTTTTCTTCTTAGTGGTGTGACACTCCATCTAGCTCATTGGATTACCTAAGTCTAGACCCTTCATCTTGCCGTTTGCTTTTCCTTTGCTCATATTTGGTGTAGCAAATTAACTTGAGATTATATTGTTAAGATGCTCTGTTTCATACTAACTTCTCATTTGATCAAATGTATATAATTGCTACTATTCTATCATATTGAGATTATTTCTATTTTAACCTTGAGCAAGCGATCCTTGACCCTATTTACCTGAACCAGATGTAATTGGTCTATTCTACTGTCCAATATAACCATCCTCTTCTTTAATTGCACTATTATTGCTGCTCATGAATCCATTGAAAAGATTCGCGGAGCCATTTACAGATATTCCTGAGTTCTTGAACTTAGAGTCATAATTTTTAGTCTTACTTTTTTGTAATGGTATTTATAGATTTGAAGAATTTTATGAGTCAGCTTATTTATTTTAAACTTTGTTTACAATCAAAGGTAAGTCACTCGATGATCCTTTATGACCGAATTCCTACTATGAAGTAGGGTCATTTTGATTAGAGTTCCAGTATTTGTGAGCCACAGAGTGCATTTCACGAGGGATATTTTCCTCTTGCTCAATGTTCAATGTGAAATAGTTTAAAGGCATATTGGACTAATTTAACTTTTACTTATTAGCGCTTTATTAGTTAGCCCCTCCTTATGAGTGACTCTTATTGCCAGATTTCTTAGGTCTTTTTGCTTTGAAGTTCATTTAGAAGGGGTAACCAGTATTTTACATCTAATTATGAAAATTAGATTATGTGGAGCCATGGCTACTATTGTGATGATGACCATTAGGGTAGTACTACTGTTAAGTGAGCATGTGATTGGCAATCATTACAGGCTTCTACTTCGGAATGAAGTTCTTTTTGAATAAGAATTTCTAATCATAGCCCTCATTTTTCTTTAAGATGTCATTCAAATTTATCTAATGTGTGGTAGTCTATTGAGGGTATGATTATTATTGGATATTGTGGTTTTATTTCTTAGACCCTACTTTCTTGATATTAGTAGGATTACCATCCTAATCTCTAAAGGATTTCAAACCTCTCTTTTATTATAGGAAATTAGCATTATTCTGTTCATTATGAGCTGCTTCAAAAACACTAATGTCTCCTGCTCCTGATATTTAACTAATATTCAAATTCTTCTTAGCAATTTGGCTTTGTCCTGACTAAGTAGCAATATATGTTGAGCTATTCTAAGGATAGGGGTCAACTTAATTTTAAATTTATAAAACTCTGTCTGAGTTAATGAAAGACTACCTTAATTACTCCTCCATTGTTGGTTCACCTTTAGTATTAGCATTTTTAACACTTTATTAGAAAATCTAATTGGTATTTTTAAAACTCTAGTAGGCTGCTTGGGTTTAGTCGTAGTATGAACCAAATGATGATTAATTTGCGATTTGCAAATTTTTCTCTTGCTTGTCTTCAGTTTTAGAAGCTTACAGTTAGCTCATTGGATTCTAATTAGAGGATTATGTTGATACACCAGATAATGGAACTCCATTTAAGCCTTCAGCAGTACTTGAAGCTACTTTCATTGGGGATCTTTTCTTTTTATCCAAAATTAGCTATTGTTAATCCTTCCTAACTGGGGGAGAACCAGTTACTGATGTCTTCTTAAGACTTTTTTTCCTTTGAAAATTGGGGATTTGCATCTGTGTTTGGACATTGATACTGCCTTGCTTAGATCTTTTTTAATTGTCCTAATTTTTTAAAAAATGGATTAGTTCAGTCTCTTCATAGTTATTTGAATTTATAATATTCAATCTCAAATTGCTCTATTGATCTTGATTGGTTTCTAAAAGGCTTAGTTTAAAACTATGAGGGTTTGATCAAGGGACCTTTCCTCTTCTACTACTGCTATTTGAATTCATCTCTGAAGTTTTGCCATCATAACTTACGCGAGAAGGACTTTATTTCTTTGCACTATCGATACTCTCAGATTCATCAGATGAAGAATCAAAATTTGTGGGGCTCTATTCATGTTCTATATATTCTTCATCCTTTTCAAATTACTCTTTAAGCTTTGATTTTTCCTCATGCCACTTATCAATCTTCTTGGTTACTTTGTTCAACTAAGAATAATTGTAAGTGAAAAATATTTTATACAAGTCTTTTATAGTTTAGCATATCTGGATCTGTAAAGTTGTTTTCTTTGATGCCTGAATTTCGAATGGCAGCTTTTTTAATAATCGAAGCAAAAAACATAAGTGAGATTTTCTAAAGAAAAAAGTAAAAAAGCAATTTCTTTTTTATTAAATACATACATGTTTGAGCTTAGATTCCAGTTCAAAATGATTCATTTTGTCTGGTAATGTTAGAGGAATCAGAGTTTTATTAATCCTTGTTATCCATGGATGCTGTAAAGCATCACTAGCTGCATACCTTTGAGCAATGTTGAATTTAGTGAGTCTTATGTAGAAATTTTTAGCTAGACTAAAAATAGAATAAGTTAAACAAAATAAGTAAGTGATAGAAAGAGGATATGTTGTGGCTGATATTTATCTTAGAAACTTACACTGATAAGTGGGAAGGAAAAGATAACTGCTTGATATTTTTAAGTTTCGCTTTGTAGGTCTCAGCTGTGTCTTTGCTAGAAAATAGTGGGTGACTCCCTCCTGTGAGTAACATGTACATTATGATTCCTAGTGACCAGATGTCTACACTTCTTGAATATTCCTTTTTAAGGGCTACTTCTGGAGCCATAAATATCAAAGTACCACAATGCTGATCAAGAGTTATAAAAGAACTATGCTCATACTTAGCACTTAAGCCGAAATCTCCAAGTTTTATTGTTGAGAGATCATTTACATCACCAATTAGAATATTGTCTATTTGAGGAGATTATTAACAGATGAAAATCAGAATTAATTTGAGTAATTTAGTATTGTTGTATACTTACCAGGTTTCAAATCCCTATGAACTATCCCAATTGAATGTATATAAGCAACTGCTTTCAAAATGCAACGCATAATGGAAGATGCTTCCTCATCAGTAAATTTCATGTTCTAGCTCTTCTTCTATTTAATCAGTTCAGTTAGTTGTCCTCCTCTCAAAAGCTCCATTCCAAGAAAAATACGCCCACCGATTTCTCGAATCTAAATAAAAAAGTAAATAATCAAAGCTGGTTCTTAATTAATGATGATTCTATTATATAAACAGCATCTATTAAACCAGGAAGCAAATTACTCATTTACTCCTAATTGAAAATGCCCTCAATTAAGTCAAATTTGACAATGCTTATCAAACTTACATGTTTAAACTACACAATATTTTAGTGGTCAAGAGTTTATAGAATTTCCGCTTCTTATCTCAAAAGATTTACGTCATTGCTATTGAGATTTTTTCTCCTGATGACCTAATAATAAGATTTAGAAGATTAGATTTTTTATTTTTTTATAGCCAATCAATAATTTGATGTGGTGGTTATTCAATTGAATTGTTAGTGGTACTTACTTTTACAGCGATAGTCTCGCCTGTCAATTTATCAATTGCTTGATACACTGAGCAGAACGCGCCCTAGCCCAATAATTTTTAAAAGTGATAATACTCTGAATACTTCTGTCTGCTCTAGAGTTTACTAAATTCTTAATCTAGATTGCTCATAGGAAGCTTGACTTCATCTTTGCTTTCTTCTTAAACGCTGTCATTTGTTTTACTATTCTCAGCCTAATCATCTTAGCTCTCAGGCTAGAAATCCTTTTGAAATATGCGAATGTCGTGCCTCCCATTAACTGGACTATTATTAGTTTTGGTTGTGTTTTTCATTTCCATAATATATAAATTGAACTGCTTTATAAATTTATAGTTAATTCATATAAAATATAATTCCTATTTCAACCTTTTAAAGTCACTCATTAAATATTAAGAGTCTCATAATTAACCCACTTCATAAAAAAGTTAATTGAATTCTAATTAGAAACTCATAAGACTCTAAACTATAATTTAATAAAATTATTAATTCGAGAAGTAGAGTAATGGCAGATTTGCTTTCAAAGTTCTAGGCATATGGTTCTAGTAGTGAAGAAGAAGACAATTCATAAGAATAGAATTCAAATAAGAATCCTAGTACTTCTATAGTTTAAAATGGCTAAAATAGTTAGCAATCTTAATTTGGAAATGGGGTTAAGGCTAAAGAATAATATAGTTTAGGCATAAATTTCTAAAGCAAAGTCAGCCAATAAGATAGCAAAGTAAAAGATCAAACTCGAATTAGAAGTACTGGACTACTCGGCAAAAGATCATTAATATCAAGCTTGGCAATTGATAAGAAATAAGACAGTGATATCGAAGATGAAGATGATTTAATGAGTAGGGCTTTCAAATAAATTTCTCAAAAGAATATCAAAGAAGGTATTATGATGAAATAGAACAAGAAGCAGAAAGAAGAGAAAAGCATAGAAGAATTGGAATTTGAGGAATAAAGAAGGAAAAAACTCTAAAACATTGACCCTTATGCTCAGAAATTATTCTCTATCTTGCCTCCTCCAACAAATTCTACTAAGCTATCTATTTCAAGTGCATTACAGTCTAATGCAGAGATAAATTTCATATAGAGAGATTCATCAGATGAAGATACTAAAATATTAAAAAGAGGATAAAAGTATAATTTGGATGATGCAAATAATAATCGAGATAAAGAGAAGAAGTTTATCGAAGTTAATAGAGATGAGCTAGTAAATAAAGATGAATTCTACAGGAATCAGGTTAAAAAGCATTCGATATTAGCATTTAGAGACTAGACTTTGCAGAGAATGCGAGGATAAATTGATACTATGGACTAATTAGCCTCTAAAGGTAAGGGTAAAAATCATTTAGCATCTATGGCAAGTGATCATTTGGATATGATTACAAAGTTCTAAGATGATAAGAGCAGTAATTTAGACGAATTCAGATAAAAAAGAGCGAGGTATGGTTGGTGAGTTCATCGAGCTTCTAATTTCAAATCAATTAATAGAACTTATATTTTTTAATTAGAAATAAACTCATTTATTAAGAACATTATCAATCAAAACTATGTTTTATGAAGGGGTTTTGGGGTTTTGGGGTTTTGGGG